GTATGTCTCTTAAGCCAATCCTATTTGGCTTTTTAGTTATGGAGGCAGAAAAGAGACCCCCCTCCCCTTCCCCCTGGGTGCCTGCTTGTCGTCATTTTGAACCGCTCATTTTCCGAGCCACAGCGAATGAGAGAGACCAGTGAAGTTTGGATCTCTGAAGCAGAGAGTTTCGAACTAGGTCTCGGAAACGCACACAAAAGAGAACATTTTCCATAAGCAAGAGATCCCGTTGAAGAAAAAGCCCAAGGGAAAATTTCGCGACACTTTCGGGCAAATCTCAGAGCCACCGTAGCCCCCACCAACCCAGCACGAGCCGAGCAGAACCTGGGTTCCCCCTTTTATTCCCGGACGGCGAGTGCCGGTCAGCCTGTCGGCCGGGACAGCCCTGCCAGCCTTCCTGCATCCGGCACCGACGGAGTCCGGGGTCACAGGAAAGCCGGCGCTGACCGGCCGTTTCCCTGCAGCGGACCGACCGGCGTGCCAGTAAGCCCAGCGCTCCCCGGGGCTCGGCCGGTGTCGGTTTTGCCGGCGGCGTGCCCGGCGTCTCGGTTTCGCGGGAACAGGGCCGGGATCTGCCCGGAGCGTCACAGCTTAAGCAAGGGTACGGCCGCCTGAGTGAACTGACAAAAGGGAAACACAAAGACAGACCCCCCACGCGCACACACACATATACCCTTCTCCTCCCCTTTGAGAAATATTTGAGATTGTTTCCCTTGGAATGCTTTGGTGTTCCTGTGGAATGTCCCCTCCCTCCCTCCAGCACATCTCTGCCTTTTCACCTACAACACCTCCCCCCCCCCTCCCTCTCCCTCTCCCTCTCCCGAGCTTTAAATCTTCCCCTGCTTCCAGGGAGGGGATCAGCATCACAATAGATAAAGGCGAAAGGTGGGGGATCTAAGAGGGGAGGGGCTAAAGCATTTAAGAATGGAGACGGTGGCTGATGAAGACTACAAATCTCTGCTTTTACAACCTCTGTACCCCCCCCCACCACACACACACACACCTCACCTCCTCTCAGCCCATCCCCACAAAAATCACTGACTGCTCACGTCCAGCCTGGGGTGCCCTCCAAAGCAGGGCCCGTCCGGCGGCTCGTTCACCGGGCTCAGTCGGGCCGGGCCTTGTAGATCAAAGCCCAAGGCCGAAACCTCAGGCCTCATCTCGCATCCGAGACACCCCCTCTTTACGGTGCGGAAACTCTCACAGTTCTTTCGGCCTTTCCCCCCCTCAACAGCCCCCCACCCCAGCATCAATCTCCCGTCTCCTTCATCCTGCCCCCCTCTTCATCGCTGCCTGTGCCTCCTCCGTCCAAAACACACAGCACACCCCTCGGTGTTGTTCACACTGGGGTCCCCAGATCGTACAGTGAAAAAGCTCAGCACAACTATTGTGCAAGAGCACAGTTTCACGATCAAAGAGCTGCACAGTGTACCGTAGCAACAACAACAACTAACATTTCAGACGAAATCCTTTAGGAATGATGTTATAACAAGGACATCTGTAGAGGAATAGGAGGGAGTCAGAAAGCTTGCTGCTGGAACAGATCGCTGT